AATAATTACTTAATACTTTATCTGATACGTTGCGATAGGTGATACAATAAACGATTCAAAATAATCCAGAAGAACTATTTTTTCCCGCTTCGATAGCTTATGTAAACCTATTTCTAAATCAATATAATCTGTTTGTAACATTTATTTCTTGTCTATTATGCCCGCACATTTTCTTGAGCCCCGGGATATCTACCACCCCAGGGTTACCAAATGTGAATTGAGGACTTTTCCCAACCCCTCTATAGAGTTTCCTCAAATAACCCCTCCAATGAAACAAAGTTCTCCAACTTTGAAACGAAATATATTTTCCATATAGTAAACCAACGACATGAGCTGTCCCTGACGATTTCATTGACTTTCCCCTTAAATTCAAGTCAACCAATCATCCTCCGGGCTGCTCGGAGCCCTACATGAAAAGCAGAGGAGCCGCGAGCAGTTTCGTGGCCATCGTGCACAGAAGCTAAGTGAAATGTGTTGAGAGCATTCAAATTTCGATTCAGGGCGCTGCCAGGCAATTCCCAGAACCTTTCTGCGGTCTATGTAACATCAAATACCAAGACGCGACACTAAGCATAAAATTCGTTAGGAAAACGTTTATTTTCGCCTGGACAGACGTAACCATAACAATATCTTCAATACTCATTGATTATTTCGAAAAATTAACTTTGTCAATTATGTATCGTTTGTTTTCCCGTACACTCTCGTCTGATGAGAACTTTCGATCGGAAAGGCGACGTTCGTTGTAATTTTTGCTAATGCTCTCCCAATTTATCAAATTTGTAATCATAATTTATTTCTTTACTGCTGTGATCACATGGCCAGGAAAGAAGAATAAAAAGACACATTATTCTCTCAATGAGTGATTAAATACGGGATTGCACGTCATTATTATCATCTCCATCAGCTCTTCCAAGTACAATTTATTTAATATAACCATCTTATGCAACTCAAACAATGTTTATCATTGATATTGCATGTGTATTCCTTCAATATGATTGTCTGAATAAATTGAATAAAAGTAGCATATTGCCTTTCTTATTCATTACTTGATGTTTCAGGTTTGAAAGAATTTATTTTTGGAGTTTTTTTAAGATTTTTCTTATGCTATTGAATAAATATTATTTGGAATAAATTTAATTATTTCGGCTATATTTATACAATGCAACATCGATATCCCAAGATTCGAAGAATGCTGTCGAATTCATTTGACAGCACATGGGATTGTTCCCACAGCTGGATTCAAATTCAGCCTGAGTAAATATGTTGTTTTCTTCTTAAAACGTTTTTGTACGAATAAAACGCAACACTGAATTGAATAGCATGAATCCATTTTAATCTAAGCTCCTGACATTGCTGTGTGGTCTCTGACTTGTAAAATACGCATGTTGGCATAATTGTATTGCATATATTCCCAATATCGTTGTAAAATCGTACTCCTTGCATTAGGAGAGAAGGTTCACTTTAAAAAAATAGTTCACGAGATAAATCTGCTTCATTGTTTTCTATACAAAATATGCGAGAATAGTACACATTTTTTAAAAGATTTAAAACTATTAGGAGCGTGAAGAACAATTCATTTATTTTGATAATACACTATCTTTCGCGAGTTGTCATAATCTATGGACATATTTTATTTATTTCTTTTCCTCTGCTGAAAAGGCACTTCGATGATATTGTATTTTTGTGTGTGCATTGGTAGAACCAATCCTCCTTTTTTGTAAATTTAAAATTGCAATCTACTAACGTATAGAAGTTGCCGAAGAAATATTTTAGCCGAACATGTCGAATAAAAAAGGGCTGCCCCAGTATTCTTATTGTTCACTCTTAAGTTCTTGAACAGAAAACTAATTTTATAAATTAGAGAAAAAAACGGTAGAAATATTTGCACCTACCAGAAGTAATAAATCCAGATATTTAATAGAATCTAAAAATGAATGAAATTGAAATGAATGAAACCGAAATGATGAAATCGAGGACAAAAAGCCGCATTATATGAATTGAAATAGAGAAGACAAGTTTTCATGTCTCCAAAGAATGTAGAATCAAATGGAGTATCTACCAATAGTTATTCTATACCAAAGGCTTCAATATAAGTTTAAAATAATTAAAATGTACTTATAATTACCTCGGTAATCACGAAAGTGGTTGTGGTCGCCCAAAATAGAAATCCTTCACCGAAAGACAATCTACTTGATTTTTAAAATAATTTATTTAACCAATTATTACTACAAAACGTCGTGCATACTTTTGAAAAAGTTGCTAGTTTGCTTGCTTGCGAATGTTGAATTGGAATGAAATAGTTCTACTAAATCCGTTGGTTTGGTACTAACAATCCTGAATATGAAATGTATACCTTGGTAACTTCAGTTTCAACTCTAATGCGAGGGATATGGGGATATACATTTTGCATTCCACATCCATCACTTACACTTCTATTTAAATCAACATGAAAGAATTTATACGTAACAACATAACAAATAACAAATTCAATATTAATTTTGTATCCTTCGGGAATTTACTCTCTGGACAATTTATTACAGGTCATGATTATATCGAATTTAATAATTGTGAGAAATATTCGAACATTCGAGCTAGGATCAACGAATTGACGTTCTGTACGTGATGTACAAAAATTTTAGAATAGTACATATTTTAAGATGATAGTATTTTTATCAAGGAAACGTATCTGGCAATTCTTGAGACCAATATGTCTTTCATTTATCACAATTGGCTCGCCAGGCGAACAGACACAGTAATGCGGCTGGGTATTTTGATCTGTTATAAAGTTTGGAGATTGCCAAAAATATTCTTAAATTTATTTCCTAGTTTGTATTTTGTGCAATATATAATAAGCCTGTTTAAGGGGCGAATTGAGCCCCGAAACTTTGCTTTTTATGAATACATACATTATTAACTGCAACAGTTTTTTCACGACACTATTTATCTCACGAAAATGACCAAAAAGTTTCCATGATAATAGAAACTGATGGACAAGAAAAGTAAATATTATAGTATTTTTGTTCATTCAGTTACCAACATTTTCTAATGCTTAGATATGCATAGATAGAACTATTAACTAAGCTCGTATTGATTTTCGAACAGAATTAGTCAGTGGCGGTTTGCAAAATTATCTCTCCCCCTTTCGTATAAAATATGAGGTTGAATATATGAATTAAAGTTATAGTTAGTTCAATGCAATATCAATTCCTCTCAGCTTTCAGAAGGCAAACTTATCGATGATGTCATGCAAAAAGTTCTGCAGTTCTTTTCGAATTGAAATTTTTGACAAATTTGTAACACATTAATAGCGCAGCGACACACGGATCAGTTCAGAATATTTCATAGCTCTGGTCTTGTGCTGTCAGCTAACGGCCTGGCGCTGTGACCTGGCGTCTGGGATTCAAAAAGGCATCAGAAAATCGGGGAAGTCCCTGTCGGAGTAGAGCATGAAGAAGGAGCACTTAACCGGTGCGTCGTGGCGCCGACGGCGAATGCCGTAGCTGGGCAATTAAAAACAATTCCTAGAAGGCAGTATAGAAATAATTCTAGGCTGCTGGAGAAATGGTCAAAATTGAGATCAGTCCACCGCGGTCTTTTTCCTGTAAATGAGTTCTATCTTTTGGTCTAAGTAGTATTGTTTTATATTATATATAAGCGGCCCCGAGATGTAACGTCAAACCTTCGAAATAAGCTCTTAAGACAATTTTAAGCATTAATTGGATTGTTGGTGAAGTAGATACCTTTTTTTTATTTTGATAAATAAATAGAGATATTGTCAGGTATAAATTTTAATTCCATTTTAATTTAATCAATTTAATTTTTTTTATTTATCAAAATAAAAAAATAAAAAAATTTAAGCATATTTTGGCTAATAAACTCCTTCGATATTCCGAATGGCTGAGCCGCAACAAGAACGCAAAATAATGTTTGAAAGAATACTTGGACCTGTCTTTCATTCCGGGCGATGAAACAGGCGATTTTAATTTAGCTCAGAGGCTTCTTACAGACTTGAGAATCATTTACATGCCATAAATCTGCTACAGATGACGGCTAGCTTTTCTTCTCCTCCAAAAGAAGGCGTACGGTTTCGATCGGGCATAAGTTCGAAAATGGTCAACTGCACACTGAATTGAATGCCTTATTTTACGTGGTGAGACTCGGGCCATCAGGCCAGCTCTTCCGTCTGACCACGCAAATTTGGCTACGCTCCTGTCACCAACTAGCAGAGAAAGGAGGTATTTCTTGGGTGAGAAAGGGCGATTTTGAATTAGCTCAGAGGCGGGTCATTAAGGCTTGCGGGGATCTTTTACCTGCAAGTAACTCTAACTAACATGGGAACAGCCGGCTTTTACTGAAGGCGTACGAAGGATTTTTTTCGCCCTTAAAAATCCACGGCCACGTTTGAACCCGCCAACTTGGGTACAACAGTCCGGTACGCTAACCGTTACACCATCGCCGCCGCGAACTCGGATACAACAGTCCGATACGCTAACCATTATACCACCTAACGGTCATGCCGGCTCTGAGCTGACTCAGCTGATCGGAATATCGTAGAAGTAAGGAAATGTAAAACTAGTCAGTTTAACAGTGCCAGTACAGAATTAGTTGAACGCAGCAACGAGACCGCACGCTCCCCTACCACAGCGAAAGGCCCCTCGGCAGTTGCGTGGCAAATGCGTCGCGACGTCGCCGGCAGGTGTTTGTGAATCGACGTAATCCGCCGGCGAGCATGCCACGCACCGGTGGACGCGCGTGGCAGGTGGAGGCAGGAAGGGGGTTCCCCGCGCGGGCACGTGGTGGCACCCTCCGTTGCCTCCGCCTCCGCAACGCGTCGCTTCCGCCCCCGCCAACGGATGTGCGTGAGGGAAGCGAAGTGTGCGGTTGCCAAAGGGTTACGTACAAGCCCCGTTCCATCTGCCGCGTACACGCATGGGATAGTACGAAGATTTTTTCACCTGTAAATGCCGTAGGGTGAACCTAAACGCGCAGAACGAACAGAATTACTCAAGTAAAGAAGCAAAATTGCTTAGATTTTGTTCCGGAACACTAGAGAAACGAGACTGTGGATCTGTTGCCTGAAGAAAACAACAACAATAATAATAATAATAATAATAATAATAATAATAATAATAATAATAATAATAAAACCAACCTGGGAAGCCGAGATTGTTAAGGTATGTAAAACATATGGATCGACGAATTATGTGGACGAATCTTTTTGCGAGCGTGGATGAGACAAGCAGACTCCAAATTCCAAACATCAATATTTTCGAGCGGAAACATTCATATTATAATATCGTGTTTTTCATTTCAATGTTTTCCTTAAATCGATATATTTGTGCAGAACAACGTTTAAAAAATTCCCATGATATAAATAAAGTTTCAAGTATCTACTTTATTTGTGGATTGCTCGCCATTGACAACTGACACTATTGTCGATCTCCAGGCGACACGGACCGATTGCTATTTGCAACCTTTTTCCAGTGTTGTTAGCAATTTTGATATTTTGTACATGGTAATATGTTTAAAATGCATTTTGAACTACAACTACACTACTTACAAAGAACAATGATTAGAAAGTTAAAGTGACTGTCAAATTCCAGGCAGAATATACTTTAATATAGAAATGGCTTGTTATATATCACATTAAAACCACGTTTTACTTGGAAATATTTCATCATATTGGAAATATCGATGATGTTTGTTGACATTTTCATCGATATCGAAAACATATTGGTGATGTGTCGAAGTATCAAAGTACAGTTGTTTTGCTAAAATTTGCCATCACCAGCGATGCTACAGGATTATGGATAGTATAAGGATTGTTCTCTTGTAGACGTGTCTAAAACAAGTAAATGGGTGTACAGAATTATTCATGTGAAGCGGCACACTTACTTCAGATTATCTAAACGTTAGAAAGATTGACTTTAAAAAACTACTGTGGGTTGCTTCTAGTCTTTTCACTTAATGCTGTTTTCGACGGATTGTCAAACAAATAGAATAAATAAAAAAATACGGCTAAGCTTGGAAGCCGTGACGTGCGAGGACGAAACGCAAACGGGTAACCGGGTACACGAAATTATTCGAGACTCGAAGAAAGGTAGACTATGGGTTTCTTCTTGTATTTATATCTGTTATTAATGCTGTTTTCGATGGATTATCAATCAAATAGAATAAAACAAAAAGTATACAGCTAACCTGGGATGCCGAATGGTACTAGAACGAAACTAAAAAGAGAAACTGTTTGCACGCAAATATTCATACCAAGTGACTAAATTGCTGTAGGTTTTCGAAGTATTAGATTTTGTTTCATAAGACTACCATTTTCATTATCAAACAAATACAATAAAACAAAAAAATATAGCTAACAAGTAACGCATTGTAGATAAAAGCTTGCTTATCATTTTCATTGAAATTATTGAAAGTGGCAAATATGCTTTGCATTTGAAGATGTTACAATTTGATCCGAAAAACTAGATAATAGACTGACTCTTGAGTCTGATTTTTCTTTTTCATTTATCTCCGCTTTCGTTACATTATTGAACTGGATGTGTTACACACACTTTCTCGCATGATTCGAAAATAGTTGTATAATACTAAAATATCGTAATTTCTGCCATACTAAAAGTTCAGTTATTACTTAGATAAGTTTAATTAAAACGAATCGCGTTTCGGGCTTAATTGTATTTATTTTTATTGGGAGGAACAGTAGACATTTCTTACTTTTAGAAATGAAACGAGCATTAACAAATTTATATTTTGCAATATTTACAGAACATAATACTGAAAAGCAAGAATAATGTCATACAAGTCTACTTTCATTACATGGGAAAAGAGCTTTCAGCTTTTTTAATTCCATAATCGGCTATTAAAACTTCATAAAGTACGGAATTGTGTTTGTTAGTACTAAGTTATATTTATTATCCTTCCTTCAATCTATTTCCTTTACAAAATATTATCTACATCACACAATCATAATAACTGACAACAATGGGATGAATTAGAAGAATTTTGAAACTTTGTGTTGCTATTTTGAAACTGACAAAACCTGAAACAAAGCGCGCTAAATTCGAATTTGCATTTGCGCAAAATTCGACTTCTTTTGCAATTTTCGAAAATGCAGTGCGTTGAAAATAGTTTCATCACCATTATCTCTACAGGTTTTTGCAAAATATGCTAAAATTGTTTAAAATGGTTTTAAAAGCTCCTATGTTCCACTGGAAAATACGCAAAAATACTCGTATTTTCGAAAAATTAAACTTGACCTCTTTGAAGAAATGTTTTTGATTAACACATTTCATTAATAAACAAAAATTATCTTCAGAACTGTAGATGTAATAAGACGCCTAAAAAAATTGAATATTTGCTACTTTTCGAAAACTGGGGTTTTCGACGAAATAGAGACCTGTACCATTTTATTAAACGTCCTTCACCCTATCCAACAAAATCTAATAAAAAACAATGCAACCATTTTTTGAAAATTTCGAAAATATTCCCGGTGCTTCATGTATAGTAACTCCAAGAAATTTAAAAAGTGTTTTCAAATTCACGGGGTCGTGACATCAGCCAGATTGATTAAGGAATTTCAATCTTGATGAAAATCATCTAAACGCCAGTGTAAATGCCAGTGTTGTTCACAGACAGATGGATGGACGGACTGACAGACGTTTTGCTGTCAATCGATTTTTTGGTATCAAGGTCCAACATAACATGCATTCTGGTTAAATCACGTGTTAGAGGAGTTTTTCTAAATTTGGCGACTGGCGTTGAATAATGACGTTAGAAGCGCAAATAAACAATGTTCATTTTAGAACGCACCTTTTGCAGAAACTAAACTATATTTAGAACGTTCGCCGTGATATTTTTTCTTCTTTATCATTAAGAACGATATATCCATATATCCACGCACCTTTTGCAGAAACTAAATTGTATTTAGAGCGTTCGTCTTGATATTTTTTCTTCTTAATCATTAAGAACGATATATCCATAAAATTGTTAATTTTAAAATATAAACTTGCGATATGCATTTGTTAAGTTCATGTTCGATGAAAACGAGACGGTCGACAAAAACGATATAAATATTGTGCCTGAGACAGAAACAATTAACAAGTTGTGTAAAGTAATAGTAGGAAGTGAAATGGGTGAATAAAACGAATTTTATTACCACTGTTCTAAACTAATATTTCACGAGAACTATCTAATTGTAAAAAAAATTCAAGTCGTAAGTCAATATTTCGCTGACCAATTGCAATAACAATGAATCATAATGATACACGTGGTAGAAAATATTGGTTGATTTCACCGTACGAAAGAAAATGCGATCGATTAAGAATAATGGTTATCACACAACGTCGGAAAGGTGAGGAGAAATCTGAAAGTCACTCGCGAACAATAATACTTGGAGCATTCAAACGATGTCGAATAACGTCCATCTACATATTTTAACAAATATAATCACACGTCAAATGCACAATCATGTAATTAAATAAATACTACTGACCCATCTCACACAAGCCACTTAATTCTGGAGCTCAAGAACATGTGCGCATAAGTTACCCATACGTCATGCGGTATGGGTAGTTGGTGGTTGGTAGATTATTGTGACTTGAAGCCAAACTGGTGCTGCGGTATACTGTTTGTTTTCTTGATAAAAGATATCGATCATATTCCAAATCAAATATTAGAAGCTGAGAAAGTTGTGTAAATATTACTTCCCAGAAAAAGTAAATATCATTTGGGAAAATCTTAGGAAATAGAAAACCGAGTTACTTGTGATTCAGTAAAGGTTTTGTTTATACTTTTTTATATTTGTAATGTTCTTACACCAAATATGCTATCCATTTATACTTTTACTAGCGGTACCCGGCAGACGTTGTTATATCCTTCATCTCCCTCTTTCACCTTCTCTCTTCCGTATATCCCTCTCTTTGTCTCTTTCTCTGTCATTCTCTCTCATTCACATTTAGTCGCAGATTCAGCACGTCTCTGAGCAAGTGGAGTAATATCAAGAAGTGCCGGATCAGCAAAAATGTAACAAAATGTTCAAGAAGATCTCATGCTGTACGAGCTATGAGAGAAACGTATCTTTAAGGCCTTTGGCCTCAAAATTGTAGTTCTTCATGCCATAAAACGCTTCGTTGAGGAGTTATCGTTGAGGACCAACCATCGATTGCTTTAAACCAGAGTCTCCCTTCGGCTTAACCACAGGCATGTAGCAGCTAAGCACGGCTTTAGATGAAGATTCGAACCGACCCAAGTCATTTGTACACCCTAGCCAACAATGTGTTGCCATATCGATCACGGCTAAATCAACATCTGGTATTCAAGAATGAATAAACTTGCTTATATGTTTCGTTTAGGATGTCTCCGACTATTGAAAAGATAATATTTGCTAATTGTTGCAAAACGATGCAAATATGAGTTCACCAGAAAAGTTTTTAAATATATGTAACATGGAGCACTAGAGGATTAAGTTGACTTTCCCCGTAGCTGAATATAGTTCTCTGAAAACATGGTTCGTAATATATTTTCAATCTATGTTCATTCATTGATCCAACTTGCTTTTAATTACAATTTAAATAGTAATGTGACTCTTATTTTAATTTTCTTAACAGTAATATAACTTTTCGTTAATGCAACTTTTATGTTAAATTGCATAGACAATGTAAAGTCAATGATGAAGAGCCTGAATCAGAATGGTGGATGGATGTCAAAATTGATTTGTAATGGTTTCTGTTTTTATTTAGTTTCTCGGTAGTTCTTGCCACAAAATTGTTTTCAAGGAGATTTACTTCATTTAATTTGAAATTGAATACTTAAATATATTTGTAATTTTAAATTTACTTTTTACTTTCTTTTTTCATTTTTAATTGGCGTAAAAAAACTACCATTTAACTTTTCTGAGATTATTTAATTTGTTTCGTTTATTTTAAGACGCATCAACAGCAGAGATTTTTGGCGACTCCATTAGTTACATAATTATAACGATGAAATTGAATTTTTATATCAATTATGATATTATATGGAGAGTTGCAGTTTTGGAAACTTTCTTATTTTATTTATTTACGTCAAAAAC